AGTGTCCTCGAATCCCGCTCTCCCATTGCCAGAATTCCCAGCTGTTCGTCTCTAGGGTGGCCTTTGACGTCAACCTTTCTATTCTGTCTCTCAGCATCTCCCCATCACCCACGGCTGCCCAAAACTACCTTTTTCATTTTTTTTTTAAAATTACTATTTTTTTTGAGATGGAGTCTCACTCTGTCAGTGATCTCAGCTCACTGAAACCTCTGCCTCCTGGGTTCAAGTGATTCTCGTCCCTCAGCCTCCCAGGTGACTGGGATTACAGGCGCCCGCCACCATGCCCAGCTAATTTTTGTGTTTTTAGTAGAGACAAGGTTTCGCCATGTTGGCCAGGCTGGTCTCAAACTCTTAACCTCAAGTGATCCACCAGCCTCAGCCTCCCAAAGTGCTGGGATTACAGGTGTGAGCCACCACGCCTGGCCCAAAATCTTTTTGTTTTCCTTTTTTTTTAGAGTCAGGGTCTCACTCTGTCGCCCAGGATGGAGTACAGTGGTGTGATCATAGCTCATTGCAGCCTTGAACTCCTGGCCTCAAGTGATTCTCGATCCTCCTGTCTCAGCCTCCCCAGTAGCTGGGATCACAGGTGTGTCCAATCACACCCAGATAATTTTTTTATTTTTCACTAGAGACTGGACCTCACTATATTGCCCAGGCTGTTGTCAAACTCCTGGCCTCAAGCCACCTTCCAGCCTTGGCCTCCCAAAGTGCTGGGATTACAGGTGTGAGCCACTGCACCTGGCCAAAAGTATCTTTTTAAAGCACAAGTCTATTAACTTCCCTCTTAAAAATCCTTCAATAAATTTCCAGTGTATATGGGATTAAATAAACATCCCCACGCTTTGCACCTGGGGTCCTTCATGGCCTAGTCTTGATTTCACATCACTCCTCTCTGTTTTAGTGCCTTAGGCTCCCGACTTTCAGTTCTTCCCAACTTGCCTTGTGATTTAAAAGCCCTGAGATTTTTGCAGGACAGCCACTGTTCCTTCAAGAATCTGACCACAGCCTGCCTTCTCCCTGAAAGAAATTCTGTCTCTTCCTCCTGAGATTTTTTTGTTTTAATTTTATTTTTTAGACAGAGTCTTGCTCTGTCACCCAGGCTGGAGTGCAGTGGCACCATCTTGGCTCACCACAACCTTCGCCTCCTGGGTTCAAGTGATTCCCCTGCCTCAGCCTCCCGAGTAGCTGGGATTATAGCCATGCCCAGCTAATTTTTGTATTTCTAGTGGAAACGGGGATTTGCCATGTTGGTCAGGCTGGTCTTGAACTCCTGATCTCAGGTGATCCTCCCGCCTGGGCCTGCCAAAGTCCTGGGACCACGGGTGTGAACCACCGCAACCGGCCCCCTCCTGAGATTAATTTGTTTCCCAGACCTTCTATTAGCAGCCTTCCATCTTGACAGTAAAAGGCTGTATGAGTGCCTCTCTTTTCTCTGGGCCGCTATAGCTTAAGGGAAAGGCTGTATCTTATCTTACAGGTAAATAACAGTTCTACAAATGATCAGGGCTCGGCTTATTAAACACTTGCTAAATAAATGAGTAAGTGAGTAAATAGATGAGCGTGGGCTCAATCTCCTGATCAAGATCGCGCCACTGCACTCTAGCCTCGGCGACAGAGCGAAACTCCGTCTCAAAAAAAAAAAAAAAAAAAAAAAAAAAAAAAAAGCCACACAGCAATTGCTAGAAAGCAGAAAACCAAAGGAGCTCCTTTAAGAGAATGAAACGTAAGTATCCGTTTCTGAAATGCACACGGGACACTCTTCAGCATCACTGACTAAAATTTAGGCTATTGAATGGAGCAGTGAGCACATAACCCATGCCGTCTCAGTTACTTGGACCAAGCTACTAATAAAGTCAGAGGCATGGGTTGGATGCAATATGGCACAGTAACCCTCAGTCCAAAAAACAGTTACTATACCAAGCATTAATTAAAACCAGGAGGGAAATTATTTTTCTCTCCCTGTATGAAAATTAGTTTTAGAAAACATTTAAAATATAAAAACCGCATTGCTGGGTGACAGGCTACCTTGCTGGAATCAGCTCAGTTACTAGGCTGACAAAGCAAAAGCAAAAAACAAAGCAAAACAAAAAACAAAAACAAAACAAAACCCAACCTCAGCACATTCCATCATCACCCCCCCAAAAAATTAATTTAAAAACATGTTGCCCCAATGATGGGTGAGCGGTATCATCTTAAAACACAAAGGACAGCCATTTCTGAGGAGTCAAGAGAACCTCAGGATCTTGAAAACACCACCAAAGAGGTGGTGAGAAGGGAGAATCTATGTTTGGCACAGGAACCACGAAGGTGCCGGATGGGTGACCTCAAGCAGCAGCTGATTAGAGAGAGCTGAATTATAGATGTCCCCCAAATCGGTACCATGTAGCCTTGTAGAGACAAAATCGGAAATTCTGAGGCGGGGCAGGAAACCAGACAGATATTAATTTAAGAAGTCTGGATTCCAGTCACTGGATACATTCCTAACTTACACTTCCCAAGAGATTATGCCCCTTACAAGTAGAAATTAGATACAGCAGAAGATACCTTGAGCAAAGAGAGAGAGAATGGGGTTGGATTGGGGAAACTGGCATCCTCACAAATAGCCTGAAGACCTAGGAAACCTCTGGATATAGGCACCTGGGTAAAGGGTGTCCATATAACAAACTCTCCCTAGACAGTGTCAGGAGGATTGGACCTGGGTCCCGCTAGGGCTGTGCCACTAGTGCCAAGGACAGTGCATGGCACATAGTAGGTGCTCAAGGAACATCTATCAACAAATGACAAATGAACATATATTGTGCAGTGTTTTTTTTTACTATATGAGACCCAGAAAGGAAGATTGAGCAAGATACTATAAACCAAAAATAAAATTCTAAGTTCCCCCAACCATCTGAAAGGACTTCCTCCTCAGCCAGGACTTTTTTTTTTTTTGACATGGATTCTTGCTCTGTTGTCCAGGCTGGAGTGCAGTGGCATGATCTCGGCTCACTGCAACCTCGACTCCCCAGGTTCAAGCGATTCTCCTGCCTCAGCCTCCCGAGTAATTGGGATTATAGGCACGTGCCCATGTAATCCCATGCCTGGCTAATTTTTTGTATTTTTAGTAGAGACGGGGTTTCACCATGTTGGCCAGGCAGGTCTCGAACTCCTGACCTCAAGTGATCCACTGCCCCAGTCTCCTAATAGTGCTGGGATTACACCCGTGAGCCACTGTGCTCAGCCAGGGGTCTTTTTAAAATTTAACTTGAGAGACTGTTTCAGGCCATGACAAGAAGTGGGGGTCTGACATGCCTCATTATACCTCTCCAGCATTAACACCAACACAGACCTTAAGTCTGATAAGAAACATTTTACAACCTATTCTCTGTGAAGCCTACCACCTGAAGGTTTCCTCTGCAAATAAGAACTTGGGTCTCCACAATCCGTTATCTTAACCCAGACATTCCTTTCTATTGATCTCAGGTCCTTAGATAAACTCAACCAACTGTCAACTAGAAAAATTTTAAATCTACCTATAAGCTGGAACCTCCCACCCATACTTTTTTTCTTTCTTTCTTTCTTTTTTTTGAGATGGAGTTTTGCTCTTGTTGCCCAGGCTAGAGTGCAATGGCAGGATCTCAGCTCACTGTGGACTCCACCTCCCGGGTTCAAGCGGTTCTCCTGCCTCCACCTCCCGAGTAGCTGGCAGTACAGGTGACTGCTACCATGCCCGGCTAATTTTTTTTGGTATTTTTCGTACAGACGGGGTTTCACCATGTTGGCCAGGCTAGTCTTGAACTCCTGGCCTCAGGTGATCCACCTGCCTCAGCTTCCCAAAGTGCTGGGATTACAGGCGCGAGCCACCGCACCTGGCCAGATGTATTTCTTAAATGTATTTGATTGAAGTCTCATGTCTCCCTAAAGTGTATAAAACCAAGCTGCACCCTGACCACCTTGGATACATGTTCTCAGGACCTCCTGAGGGCTGTGTCACGGGCCATGGTCACTCATATTTGGCTCAGAATAAATCTCTTCAAATATGTCACAGAGTCTGACTCTTCATCGACAATATTACATTTATTTTACACATAGAAAAGTATTTCAGTTCCAATTAGAAGTTTCAAACTTGTCCAAGGCCATGCAAGATAGACGTATCTTCTACCTTAGCTGATATGCTGGCACCATAACTTAATCATATTGCACATGAGCATGGTGTTCCACATTTTTAAAGCCCTTTTAGCTGCAATTATGATAATGATCCAGTTAGATATTTTAGACAGTGATGAGCCATTTCCTCATTTTTCAGAATAAATAAACTAAATTTTAATTGGCTCATCCGGGATAATAGCCCTTTCTGGATCAGAACCCAGGTTTTGGGGGTCCCAGGGCTGAGAGTTTTCAATGGTCACACTATCCCTTACCTGAGCTAGAGAAAACCTACAGTTCCTTACACCTCCTGCCTTCCACTCCCCAGCAGAAAACAGAGGAGAAGCTGCAGGAAGTACAGAAATGTGAGCTCCAAAGCCGGGATCTGAACTAGTCTGTTGCACCAGGGGACCATCTACAAAATATACATCAGAACAGCCTGACCTGCTTTCTGGGCTCTTTTGGACCCATTTAGGGATAGAGCTGGTGGGGCTCGGGGCTGCTGGTGAGCAGCTTGTGTTTTAGTTTGCCCAGAAAATTCCCCAGGTGATCTGATTTATCCCCTCTACGCAAACCGCCTTCGCCACTGTAATCTCCAGCTTAGCTGCCAGAGGTTATCTGTTACTCTTGCTCAAGCAGCTCTGGGATAATGGCTCTGCATTGGAGTCGTACACAGAAATTCTCTCCTTACCTTGTGGCTTGGGCTTCCCTGCTGCTTTTGAGAGGCTCACTGCTAGCCGGGCCGTGAGCTTTTCTCCTCTGACTCACCAACTCCCCTCTTGGCTTCCTCCTCCTACTTGCTTTTGCATAACCGTCCCTACTCAGAGCACATTTCACTGTCCTCTCCCTTCTGCCAAAAACAAAAAAGGACCCACCTTGCAAGATGGGCTTGAGAAAGCACTCGCTCCCAGGAAGCTGTGAAAGTAACAGCTTTAACACTGGTGAGACTCGAGGGGTGGGGAGGCTGCTTGAGGTGGGCTGGGAGAAGCAAAGGAGGAAGCATTTTCCCCCAGACTGGAGGCATCCTGGAATGGTGACTCCTGAAAGGCAACTGTGAAGGTCAACTCCCTTGGGGGAGAGTAGGGAGGGGGGAAAAAAGGGAAAGAAGTGAAAAAAGGGAAAGAGTGAGAGAGACCCAGGGAGAGCTAGCAGATGAGGCTGATAGGGAAATTTCTTGACACTTACAACCGGACAGGCTACAAAATCTCAAACCTGATTCCTAGACCTTATCTTATCTCCGAGGAGAAAATGTGAAAGTTATTTCTTGCATTGCATCTGCCTGCTCACTCCACCCTTGGTCTAGGGAGGTAACATTTCTCAGCCTCTGTGTCGTATTCAATATCTTCACCCTTTCTACAAGAGGTAATAAATATTTTCTGGGAGGACCTAGATGTACTGGCTTGGTGGTACAGGAGAAAAAAAAATCCCATTTAAGAAAAAAAGAAACAAGTTATCATTAAAGATTGCAACTTCTCCCTTGCTGTGTGCCCTTGGCCAATCACATACCTACTCTGTGCTACTTTACACGGTTGTCATGAGTCTGAAACAATGGATGCCCATGAATGAACGTAAATTGTGGTGGAGAATGGAAGCCTCAGACTTTCAAGTCCAAGATCTTGCCGGGCAAGTCATACCACCTCTTTGAGCCCTAGAATATTATCAGTGTTAAATAAGGGTAACAATATCTATCTTACAGTATTGTTGTGAATGTTAGGATTAATGCGTGAAGCTCCTAACACAATATTATGACAATATAAGAGTTAAAAAGTGGTTGTTACCATCGAATAATAATGCCTCCCCACCCCCGCACAACTCAGCTGCCAGTTCCTTTTCCAGACCTTGGAAGAGAGAGAGCAGGCAGGGATGTGTGAGCTCCGGGATGATCTTTGCCGATTTCCATCAGCTGAGTCCACTAAGCACAAATGACAAGAACCTGTGGTGCTTGCCTTGAATTGATTTCAATTGTGTGGTTCTTCCTCCCTTCCTGTTTCTCTCTGGCAGAGAGAAGAGAAATTTCTCTTCCTCCAGTGAAGGACTTTGGGCAGAGGTGTAACTGGAAGCGCTGGAACTGGGCAGTTGGTAGTTTTGCTTTTATGGACAAAGAGATGATTCAGGTGCTGGCACGACACAGCGAGATGGCACAAGGCTTCATCACGCATACTCAGAATAGTATGTAATAAATGAAGTTTATTTCTGGAATTTTTCCATTTAATATTTTCAAATCGTGGTTGATGATGAGTAGCTAAAACTGCGAAGCAAAACCGTGGATAAAGGGGGACTCCTGTAGTTTTACTCCAGCCCTTTCTAACGTTCTTTTCGTGTTTTTTCAGAGCCTTCCTAAATATAGTGAGGTCACTCAAATACACCATAACCCCAAGTAATTCAGATCACCTGCCATCTTTCCCTTGCTAGGAATTCATGCTGGCAGAATGCCATCAGCCAAAGAAAGGCATCATCTGGCCACTAGTATACAGTGGTGACCAGTATATTCAGATACTGGACTTCCAAGGGTCTACCACATTCCACAGCACTGGGAAGAAATTTGAATGTTGGTGTCTGATATCCAGGCCTTCCTGTGGAAGTCCTGCAGTCCACGTCTCTAAGGTAGCACTGTCCAATAGCAGTCTCTGTGATGATGGAAATGTTCCATATCTGCACTATACAGTAGCCACTGCCCACCTGAAATGTGCCTAGTGCTACCATATTGGATCATGCAGTCAAGTAAGAGATCTAATCTTTTTCTTTTTGAGTTTCCAAAATCCGATAACAGATATAGACCTCTGTAGAAAAATGTATAGTTGCTCATTTACAAACACAAAATCATGTGCAATGCCAAGGAATCCCAAGTTTAAAATCCCTACAAAAGGCTGTGTGTACTTGAAGTGATTTAGACAATTATCTCATGGGGACCACTATTCAGCAGAGTGGCTGTTCTCATCTTTGCCCTTGGAAGTTTACCATCTTTACTGTCTGGGGACCCACCTGAGTGGTGAAGAGGCCTGGGGTCAGCTACTGACCTAGACTCTGATTTTCTCAGGGGTCAAAAGGATCTTTCTGCTGATTATACTACCTACTTCTGCTACCTTACCCTGACCATCACTCCAAATGAGAATGCAGTTTCTTCACTTCCACACTTACCTACATATCTTTTCTGTCCCTATTGACACTAAAAGGACAGTGATGCTTCCCTGAGTTTCTTTTCATGTAGGGGCTCTAGCATTCCTCATTTTTTTACTCTGAGCATCAGCCTGCAATGCAGATATCCGGGCCTGAAACGGTTGAGGAACATGTCACTCCCTACATTGGTCACCAACCCTGTTTTGCTTACCAAAGCCAGTGTCAGGCCTGAGTAGGTCACTGGCTAAGTGGCTGAGTTTAGAGAATAGATTCTGGAGGGCTTTGTAGTTTGGCTAAGTTTCTGAAGGCTGTAGAGACTGGATCTTAGCATCATAGGGAGCCAGCACCTTTGGAAGAAGTGTCTGCAAGCCAGGGAGGAAATCTTGGTTGCTGTAAATCCTATTATCAAACGGGTAATTGCTTTCAGTAGAACTTGCTTCCTTGAGCTGGGCCCTGGTGGTGGACATCTGTGTAGGGAATCCGCCAGCAATAGGATGTCCCTTATCTGTGTTAGAAATATTTATTTCAACAGTGGGAGAATAAGTTGGACTAGAATAGATCAAGATTGGCAGAAAAATGAACACAGTTTTAAGTTTTTCACTGGTTCTTGCTTTCTTGTTGCTCCTTTGTAAAGAAGAGAGGATAGGAAAATAGGAAATAATGAGCCAGGAGTTCCTAGTAAAGTTCAGGCATCCCTTGTATGTCTTTAATGGTTCAGGAACATAACATTGCTGCATAATTGTGGCTTTATCTGGAATCAGTCTCCTGAAATTCTATCTCTGGTCTTCCAAAAACTGTCAGAGATGGCTTCAGGTGACCCGTGATGATTTAGTCAAGGAGTTTCTGGAGAGGAAATCTGGGGAGACTATCAGTGTGTCTTCCGGTGGACTGTCACCTCATGTATCACATTGATCACCAATGTCTGTCTAAAGGTAAAATAGCCTTTAAATAGCTGTCAAATTTGCCCTCCTTCTTTTTATGTCAACAGCCACTGTCTTCGGTCTGCCTTTCCACTTTTTGTTTGTTGCTTGAATTTCTGCCAACAGCCTCTCACTTTTTCCCATATCTCCAATCTTACCCCCTCCAGCCTTCCCACTCTACCCTGCAGCTAGAGTGATCTTTCCTAGGATGGATCGGATCCCCAGCATTTCCCTGATGAAAATGGTGCAAGGGAGCTCATTAGAGACACAGAGACACAAATTCCTCGAGATGCTTAGTTAGGCACCTTTTAAGAGTTGGTGTCTCTCGGCCGGGTGTGGTGGCTCACGCCTGTAATCCTAGCACTTTGGGAGGCCGAGGTGGGCAGATCACCTGAGGTCGGGAGTTCGAGACCAGCCTGGCCAACATGGCGAAACTGCGTCTCTACTAAAAATACAAAAGTTAGCTGGGCATGGTGGCATACACCTGTAATCCCAGCTACTCAGGAGGCTGAGGCAGGAGAATAACTTGAACTCGGGGAATGGAGGTTGCAGGTAGGTGGGTAGATGATGTGCTGGGAATTTGTAGAAATTCCCTTTTTATTGCTTTTATTTTCCTAGTGAGTGAGGGGATAAGGTTGTCAGCTGAGTCTGAGGATGGGGAAGGAGTTGTGGAAGCTTGAAGAGAGAGAGGAAGATATGGAATGGCAATCTATGAGAATACGTCAGTGACTGTGCTAGGGTAATGAAGTAAGATAGACGAGTGAAGCTGAAGGCCAGTGGTCATAAACTTAAAGTGAAAGCAGATAGCAGAGGTGTGTAGTTTTTCCAACCAAGTTCGGCTACTACTTCTTGTGTGGGGATAGGTGGAGAGTTAGATTTGAGTAAGACCTCTGCGTTTCTGGAAAAGTACAATGAAGTATTAGAGAGGCAAGGGAGCCTAGGGGATATTCAAGGGCATAATTATAATAATGAACCATGGACTCTAAGCTGGTTAAGAGGAGAAGGAAGGACAGAAAGTTTATAGCTGAGCTAAGTTGGAGGGCAAGTTGCTTGGGAGTGAGGAGGTCAAGGATTTGAGACATCAGGGCTTTGAAAGTATCATCTCTAAGGATATTGAGTTCATGTAGAATTGTCCCAGGAGTAGAGTTGGAGAGTGGCAGGGGTCATATGACTGTAATGAGGGCAGTATAGTCTGGTTAATATCAGAGTCAAAGCTGGAAAGGTTTAAGAAGGAGGGAGCCAGAATAATCTGGAAGCAGCAATGAAGAACAAGAACACCTATTCCACTGTGGAGTGTAAGAGAGAAACAGACACCACCTGAGAGGACTGCAGAGAAAGCAGTGTCTTCAAAGGAGACCTAGTTTCTTTTAGAGCAAGAAAGTGAAGAGGAAATGAAGAGACTTAGAAAAGATGGATTTTGTGGATCCCAATAATGAATTATTGAGGGTGTCAGGGGATGGGGAGGGTGGGAAATGGGGTCAGAAAATGAGATGTTTGGAGCCATTTGGGATTTGGGATGAAACGCAAAGGATCGTGGGCTACTTGTGTGACTGGCATAAATCAGAATAAAGGAAATAATAACAGATAATGATGGCCTCCAGGAAGATAGTGGTGGCCAAATGGAAAACTTGGGGAAGGGCAGTGTGAAGAACCTGCTGGGAGAGGCTAGGGTGCTCCTTCTTTACTCTTGGCAATGGTGATGTGGAGGCCAGGGTAGAGGTGTTGTTGAAACTCTAGACATTGAGAAACCACATCACCACTTCTCCAAACAATGCAAAGCATCTGGAGTCAGCTTGGTTGAAGGAACAAGAGTTTTGGGCCAGGCACTGTGGCTCATGCCTATAATCCCAGCACTTTAGGAGGCCGAGGCAGGTGGATCACCTGAGGTCGGGAGTTCGAGACCAGCATGACCAACATGGAGAAACCCCATCTCTACTAAAAATACAGAATTAGCCGGGTGTGGTGGTGCATGCCTGTAATCCCAGCTACTCGGGAAACTGAGGCAGGAGAATTGCTTGAACCTGGGAGGCGGAGGCTGTGGTGAGCCGAGGTCACACCATTGAACTCCAGCCTGGGCAACAAGAGTGAAACTCAGTCTCAGAGAAAAAAAAAAAAAGAGTTTTGAGGGAGAAAGAGGAGATAGATCATGGAGCACTGAGGGACTAGGTAGTTCTCCAGGGGATATCACAGGAGTTCCTGGGTGTTGACCTGTGTGACATGAAGTCATGTAGTCATACAGTTGGGGCGGATACAGTGGCTCAAGAATGCCATTGGGTGACTTATTTCTACAGACCATCAACTTCATGCTTATTGCCTGATGGCCAGGAGACAGCTGTGCACATCTAGGGCTCACATCTACATTCCAGACAGGAAACTGCAGAAAGGTTAATAACTGCAGGGCATATGCATCACATAAAGTAAAGATATGAAAGCACTTCAATCTCCAAAGCTCTTGGTTCATGTGGGTTACTCTGCTTAAAGCACCCTCTCTCCTTTATGGCCTGGCTAACTTGCATCTTCTCTTTCAAGATTCAACTCAAGTCAGCATCACCTTCTCTGGGAAACCATTCCTTATGTCCCTAGGCTGAGTTAGGCGCCCTGGTCTGTGTGTGGCAGATTGCCATGATGACCTCCATTCTCCCATCTTTTTATCCATGCCCTATGACGTATAACTCTGCCTGGAGTCTCAGCTATGCCACTCGCTTTGATGGTTGGGATTTTTTTTTTTTTAGGTGAAGTCTCGCTTCTTTACCCAGGCTGGAGTGCAATGGTGCGATCTCGGCTCACTGCAACCTCCGCCTCCAGGGTTCAAACAATTCTCCTGCCTCAGCCTCCCTAGTAGCTGGGATTATAGGCATGTGCCACCACGCCCGGCTAATTTTTGTATTTTTAGTAGAGACAGGGTTTCACTAAGTTGGACAGGCTGGTC